GCTTTTTTCCATCCTCCCCTAGAGAGCCGTCCAAGGAATCGAATCCCCCAAGAACGGACAAAATGTTGGAAGGATTCACGTTCACTGCCACTACCTAACAGCAGAACGAGTACGCCAGGCTATCCAGTTGATTTCATAGGAATCTTTCGCCAGTCACATATTTTTCTTCCTCATTCAGATTACACTTGCACCTGTTCCTGATCACATGAGATAGGTTACCCCTCCGATGTCACTTTTGAACATGTTCGGCTAAATCACAAGAGCATCGAGCCCTTTCAATTGCTCTTGCATTTGTTGTTTTATCAGATTTTGTGTCGGTCACTTGTGTAGTTCAGAGGCGTGGCTGAACCGTCTACCCTCGGCTGACAGCAGTAAAAGTCCTACAAAGCCCATGATGGTGTCTCTTGGCCAGACGGCATTCCCACTACCGTAGCTAGTTTCAGAGTGGCCTAACTTTATATACACAGCCGCGTGTAGTCGGTTAAGACTTTACATCAGCGGAAGCTAATATTAGATAGGATAGTTGTATTATGGGGTTTAACATATTATTTTGTAGTGCCTTGTATTAATACATTTTTAAAGTTATATGTTCACAATTGGTTTGGGAAAATTAACACATTTTTGACAATGAAACATGAAAAGAAATAATTTTACAAACCATATATTCACATGATATTTATTGTACGGGAAAGAAATGAAGTAGAAGAAAGATCTATGACACACAAATTGGGGAAGACTATGATATTACTACAAAACTGTCTTTTGTAAAAATATACACAATTTCTTCAGGTACGTACTTCAGGTGCTGTTACCAAGGCCTTCGATACGTTAACACAGCTAGCATCCTTAACTAATATTCGACAAGAAAACGAAATTGATAATGAAGAAGAAAACGAGGTGGGAACAAGCGACAGCACCTTCGTTTCAGCGCTGGACAGGGTCAATAAAACGTCCACAATCAACAACACAAACTGTATCAATACGATAAAGTGAGTCGCGTGAGATTAGATTGCCCTTTTCAGCTGTTGTTTCATGTATGAATATTATCTTCACTGCAACTTTCTTGCTCTTGAGATCCAGTTCTCTCGCTGAACTAACTCGTGTATACCACTCAAGATGGAGGTTTCTATTCATTCTCATCTCCTACTCAACTCTTTACTTTGGCAGATTGGTTCTGAGGAAAGTCCAGTTCACTGATGCGAGAACAGGAAAATTATATCCATGTGATCTGTCTCAACCCCCCTATGTGGAAATTGTGGACACTTACAACAACTCGTGAGTATAGAAAAGAAGCATGTCTGACGCGCTCGATCCATTGTAGTATAGATAGGAAAACTTCATATGTATTAAAGTTTATACACATTGGATTTACAAATGATATATTCTCTCCAGTATCAGCCAGAGGTTCTGTTACCTGAACGAAGATGTGACCATCCACTCATTTGGTGACCAGATGTTTGGTTATGTTGTGACCAACGGAGATCCTAACATCATTCCTGACATTCGGTAAGTTGAGTTTCGAATTATGGGTTTTTGAGTATGATGCCTCACAATATGGTTGATTTTATTACAAGAGAATGTGGGCAGGGTTTAGCATATGAATGTGTTTACATTTATGTCGACCAATATGTATACCATGTATATAAGTGGAGAGATATTCAAGAATCACTTCACGTCCACATCAGCAGAAGAAAAACAGATTTATTTTCTCTTCCATGTTTTTAGGGCCATTCAAGAAAAGGAGAAATACTGTTGTGGCGGCGTTTCTATGGGGATTTCCGCAAGCCACTTATCATTACTTCACCAAATTATCCCTCCAGCTATAATGCTGACATGCGATGCCCTTACGTCTTCAGGGTAAGTCATCTTGTGTTTTAAACAACTGCCATGTACCAGCCAACATCAATTTTTTTTTTTCAACTTTTTTTATTGTATTATTGTAATGGGTATTATTACTATCACTCACTCTAACTTCATTTTTTACTTACAACTCAGAATCTCAACAAACTTTCCCATTTTCTCGCTCTAACACAGCTCTCTTTCTCCCCGCAGTGCAATGTCGACTACCCCGAATGTGTTATTCGTCTTGATTTCGAAAGCTTCGCCCTCTCTCCAAACGCCATGGGCCGAAGTCGTCGCCAAGCGGAGTCCGGAAACGGGACGGCTGCCACCACCCAGGCTCCGTACGTTCCGCCGACCGGCTCGACTTCAACAGGACGATCTGCGCCGGCGAGGACGTGGTGCGGGTCAGTCAGTGCGACTCCATCTCGACGGTCAATGCTCGCGTGAGTGTGTCACATTGGCTGTTTCATTTCGCGCTTCTTTTTAGATTTTTGTTTTTATTTCGTCGTTTTTTATACTGTCACCTTTCCTATTTTCTCATTCTTTTCTCCATCCTACTCATAAAAGGCAATGAACAAGAAATAGATATATATCGATATCGTATAGAGAGAGAGAGAGATACAACAGAGAAAGTCAATGTAAATAGTAGTTTTAGCCACATCTGCTCCCCAAAAGTCGCCACCACGCAGCGAATCCAAGTTTTCGGGAAAGGCTGTCTCTTGGCTCTGACTTTAGTGCCTCACGTAAGCAGCCTTCTCCAACACTCTATCTCTTGATCATTTATTCACTCTTTCTTATTGATTGTTTTATTCATTGTTACATATATTAAATTATGTGTCATTCTCCTTCTCTCACTGATTGATTCTTATATCTTTCTTCCATCCGTTCTCCACACTCTATTTTCTGGCGCATTTGAAGGGAGATTTCTGCTAAATATAGGATTCATTTTTTTTTTTTTTTTTTTTTTTTTTTTTTGTAATCAAGCAACATTCCCAAGCAATGTATTACATAAAATTACATTCGCATTCATTTTCCATCTTTTTGCCGGCACCCCCCCCCCCCCCCCGCCTCACCCCGTTCCCTCCTTCCCCACAGGTTCTGCGCAGACAACCCTCCCTCGCAGGTCTACACGGGCTACAAAGAAGTGCTGCTGTACTTCAACTCGAACGACGACAGGCAGAACCAAGGCTTCGTAGTCAAATTCACGCCGAAGGACAAGAGGAAATGTAAGATGCAAAAACGCATATATATATACGTGTGGGTGTGGATGGGTGGGTGGGGTATATATACATGTATGTATGTATATATACATATGTATGTATATATGTGTGTGTGTGTGTACATATATACGTACAAATATATATCTATATATGTAAATGTGTGTGCACAATGCAATGTATTTATTCGTATTTCTAATCTAGCATATACAGTATTCTCCCCATTGCAGAAGCCTTACGACAACAATGCCATTTTCATATCCTCCTTTCCTCTTCCTCAGGGATTTACTCCAATGCTGAACTCGAACCGGAGTGCAGTGAGTAGTTGTTTCCCGGTTTATTTAAATATATATATGATTCCTAGATTTCTTATAGTCCCCCCTTATTGCGATCGTAAGAATAAGAAAACGGGGATGAAAGAGAATGGTCCTTCTTTGTTTATTTTTTGCAAATGTCGTTGCTAAATACATGTTCATCAGTTTGTTTTATTGTTCGTTTTTGCTTTTGCTTTTTTTTCTTTCGTTCTCTCTGTGTCTAATCAATGATAAGAAAAATATATAATCCCCAGATAATTGACGGTAAAAGGGGAATTGCCCTTAAGATAATCGTTCAGTAATGATCATTAAATGTATGAATTATACTTAATATTCATGTAAGAATTATTTAGTTTTAAAGTATATTTAGTATAAGTTTAAGTAAAACAACTTACATTTTGTGTAGAATAAATCATTTCTTCAATATTAATCTAATGAGGCAATGATGTCACTACTACTATTACTGATGATGTTAATAGTTATGGTGATGATAATCTGAATGATAGAAGGAATAATGATCATAATGATAATGATAACAGTGAAAATAATAATGATATAATAATAATGATAATAGCAACGATGATAACAATAATGATAGTAATAGTAATAATGATAATGATAATAATGAAATAGGAATAATGATAATAATAATGATTACGATAATGATGATAATAATGATGACAATAATGATAATTATCATAATAGTAATAATGATAATAATAATTATAATAATGATAATGGTAATAATGAAATTAATAATGATGATAATAATAAATAATGATAATGATTTTAGTAATAATGATAATAGTAATAATAATGATGATAATAATAGTAATAATAATGGTAACAATAATGATAATGATAATAATAGATAAAAATAATAATGATAATTGCGAAAATGCCCAAGCGATCGCCGTAACCACTTGATCTCACCCCCCCCCCCCCTCAGCGTGCGCGAACAACCTTCCCAACCAAATCAGAAAGTTCTTCAGGCAAAGGAACAAGAACAAGAAGAACAAGAACAAGAACACGACCCTCCGCCGCGTAAAGAGAGAGGAAAAGAAGAACATGAAGGAGAAGAGAAAGGCCGAGAAGAAGGAGAGAATCCCTGGACGGAAGACGGAGAAGGGAAGAAACGAGAAGAAGAACGCCAAGGGACAAGCCAAGGAGAAAAAGAAGGGGAAGAAGAACAGGAAAATGAAGGAAAAGCAGGGGAAGAAGAAGAACAGGAAAATGAAGAAGGGAAAGAAATCTAAGAAAGAAGAGAAAAAGGCCGAGAAAGCGAAACGAAAGGGAAAACTGTCCAACAAGAAGGAAAAAAGACTTGGAAACAAGAAGAAGAATGGAAAGGAAGTCGAGGACCGAGCCATGAACGGAGGACGAACAGGAAGCGACAACAATACCCATGGCTGGTGAGGTTTCATCTGTGTGTGTGTTTGAGTGTGTGTGTGTGTGTGGTGTGTGTGTGTGCGCATATGTGTGTGTGTGTGCGCGAGTGTGCATGAGTGTGTTTGGGTGTGTCAATGAGTGTAAATCCTCATTGCAGAAATTTAAAAAATAAAAATAAATGAAATAATCATATAAAAGCACAGTGTTACGCATGACGAGATGGGCGAGTATGCATGAGTATGTGTGTGTGTGTCAGTGAGTGTAAATCCTCACTGCAGAAATAAAAAATAATAATAATAATAAAAAAATAAATCTTACAAAAGCACAGCATTACGCATGAGACCACAAACACCCCCAATGAGATACCACATCAGACAAATATATGTTAAATAAATTACCCTAATTCTTCTCATTTGTTCCACAGTTATAACACCACGATTTCATGATCTGGATTTCCTTGTTACCCACATCTTATCCCACAGTATTTTGTCCAAGTGTTTGGATCCTAAGTTTTTATTCATTAGATTCATCCAATTCAGTCCATTCTACTGCATCCCGAATACATTGAGTTATGATTTTAGGTTGGAGCTTTAGGCCTCATTATTTCCGTTTTAGCACCTGTGTGCCCCTATTTATTCCGATTATTATTATTGGTTGTATCGAGCCGGTCAGTGTTGGATTCACATCTATTACACGTGGATTTATGTTAGTACAATGGTCATTAGCGTTTTACTCATCTCCAATCTATCATCTCTAGTTGATCCACATTTTATCAATTCTGTGCGCTATGTGTGCTTGAGTAATCGGTTTTTTTACGTAATTGATTCAACATGTCGGTCATAAATCCATTTGTTGGCTTAATTATATTTACTTGACTTCACTCAGCTTCTCCTTTACTTTTGGTATACCTATTATTTTGCGTATTACCTCGCATCATCAGACCATTGTTATCATTATCTTACCACTATTATCACTATGAATTTGTTTGTAATAATTAGTTAATGATAATGATTCAGTAATACTAGAGTAAGTTAGCCAAAAAATAAATGCGAATAATAATTGAATTATTGTTATCCTTTTATTATGATTGTAATCTTGATTATATTATTCTTATAATTTGTGTAATATTACTTCATTATATATTATTTCTTCCTTCAATCTTATATATCATAATCATTTTCATTCCTCGTTTATCATTCTGTTACTTTAAGGTGTTTATTGATTTATTATTCTATTATTACTTTTTTTATTTATCATCATTATCCATTATGATTGATCTTATTATTTACCATTTTTACTTTTTTTTCAATATTGTTTGATTCCGGTTTTTGTGTATTTGCTATTATCCCATTATCATTTATTTATTGCCCTATCCATCCATCCTGCCTATGCCAGTACTTTCATCCCTTATCCATTTTTATTACCTATTATTTGATTATTGCCCGTATTATCTTCCCTACTATATTCCACTTTTAGCATTACCATTACTCTCTTCTTTTTTTTTTTTTTTTCCAATTCTTTTTTTTCTCTTCTTTCTCTCCTTCTTACTTCTCCCAGTTCGTTCGTTCATCTCCCTCTCGACTTACCTTCTATTACCTCCCATTCAAGTCCCTCATTCTTCTCTCTCTTTCCCCTACTTCTCGATTCTCGTCCCTCTCTCTTCTCCCTCTCTTTTCTCTTTCCTGAATTATTTCTCTTATCGTCTGTGTGTTCTCTTTTCATAATCTTCTTGCGTCTCCTTCTCATCTCTCCTAGTCTTCATTCTCCTCAATTCCACTCTTCATCTCTCTTACTCTACTATCTCATCAATCTCTCCTCTCTCAACAATCTCCTCTCCGTCTCTCTCTGCTCTCTGTATGTGATACCGTTGATTTGCACGTATTATTCATCTAACTACTATTCTCTTTAAACTTCTCCTAGTGTGCGTTAATCCTATTCTTAGCCACTCATAACTATTTGGCAGAGGATATAAATATATATATATGTAGTATCAAGAGAGAAGAATGTGTACAATGCCGAAAGAAAGTAGTCAAATAAACAGTAGACATCACCGAGGTGAACGATATGCACCACAAGTGTGAGAGTGATAGTGTATAATGGAATAAGGCCGTCTAAGTCTAAAAGAAATATGCGAGTAAGAACCACAATTCAGAGAATGAGATCACAGTATCATGTATATATATGGAATGGCCAAGGTGAATATCAACAAGAGCAAGAAGAATCCCGGAAACAAAGACGAAGAGCGACCCAATGAACAAATATAAATTATCACACGAACAGCAAGAAAGATCTCAGAAGATGTAAAATACAATGTATGATATATATCTCAAGGAATACCCAAAAAGAACAGCGACGTGAAGAAGTATATATATGAAAGGTCAGATAGTAAGTAAGAAATGAGTAAGAAGATCACACAACACACGGAGAGATAAAGGAAGTAATGAAAGTACCAATGTAATATTCCAGTAATGGCGTACTGAAGGAATCTGTGACCCTCATCCATATAGAATAAATGGTATCAAGTCTATGGCACCCGACTCAAGCGAAGGAACTCCACGATCACCCGGTGGCTATTTCGACGAGTGCTATCGTGTGCAATCTATATCAAAGTATATCTGAATTGTGGTATGTCAAGCCACTAGTATATCACGCTGCCGCGCAATTTCCATCCCTATGCGACTGCTATCGTAGCTACCAGTTCATGTGTCTAAGAGCTATGTATTGATATATGCTTGTTCTGATGTTTGATTGCGAAATTTGACGAAATCTAAGTATATCTCTGTTATTATATTCATTGATTATCACTGTGCTTGGATAGTTAAATTATAACTATCTGAATCAATGTCATCTCCATTATCAATATATCACTATTAACATTTTTATTGTTATTTTTAATTTTTAACATTGTTCAATTAGTATAGTTAGCCATTTATTCCATCATTCGTTTCGTATTCTTTATTGTTTAATATATCCATTTACTTAATTTTATTTTAACGACTTTATTACTATGCATCTACTGCTATATTCTTTTCTTAAATCTAAATATGTATACTTATTTCTTAAATAAATAAACTCAATTTACAAATGCACTTTGCTATAATATTTTATACGTGTGCGTTTGTTTAATTTATCCTATTTAATATGCTTTGTGTGCGTGTCTACAGGGTTATGGTGTTTTATAATTTATATTCAATGTGTCGTGTCCGTTATGATCCACATAGATAGCACGAGAGACAGTGCGAATGAGACATGTACTAGAATACAGAAGACTGTAATTATAAAGAGAAAGTAGATATCCACACGAAAGAAAGTAAGAGAGAGAAAGTATGATGATATGAGAAATGCGCCCATTTCCGATCTCATCTCAACGTCCACTCCATATTTAAATACCCAAAATGTCCTTTTCCAGAGTGTTAGCGCAGCATCTCATGTACAACATGAATCCTCCGCTGCTATTAATTGCTGTCTATGCGATATAAGTGAAAGTGATGACAAGTTTCTAACATGTTACTGTCAAGCCATGTGCTCTTGTTCGCTCGATATTTTCTCGACTCAAGATTTAAATATGCACATCATACGCACGTCTTGAGCTGGTCAATCCATCCATTCTCGCTATGATGTCAGGTAAATATGGAATAAAATCTCTTGAGTAAGATAGCACGCATGGCAGTGAAATGGTGTGTTGATGTTTGTGAGTGTGTTATTTTTTGGATTATTTATTCTGATTACAAATTATTATTCCATCCCATCTATTGTATTTATAATTATATCTATGCATCATTGATCCAGTTCTCGGATGTTTGATAGTTTTTGTGATGCTTGCGTGATTGTGATTGTATTTTATTCATTCCGATTATTATTATTATTTTATTTCCATTATTATTATTATTATTATTACTATTTATTATCATTTATTAATTATTTATTCATTTATGTATCAATTACTATTAATTATTTAGCTGTGTGCATATTTGATCATTAATTTATGATATATACATAAAGTGTGTTGTGTAGTTTATGATGTTGTGTGTATATTATAGTATTAAATTCACAATAATCATACATATTTCATATATAATTATATAATCTATAATTATTTTTCATCATATTTTAATATATATTATAATTAATCTATCATTATTAATTATTATTATAATCAATATATATGTCGTGATGTGTATGCTCGTCATTGCTTGTGTTGTTGTAGTTGGTGGATGTTAGTGTCGTTAGGCGTTGTTGTTTGTATTGTCGACCACTATTTCCCTCTTGTGCATTATAAGGAGTAAATAAGTAGCAATAAAACTGTTGTTGCGGTTGTTATGCGTTCAAGTGTGACGTTGATGAGCCTGTGTGTTGTTGACGTGGTTTGCATATGCACCACTAGATAATTTTCATTAAATTGTGTTGTCTGGTGTGGTATCTCGATGTTTATGATCCCAACATTACCTAATTGTGCTCGACATTATTTTGCCTTTTTTCATCATATTTTTTATTTGGCCAATTATACAAACAGACAGATATACGTAAACAAAATGATTAATTACAAATAATACACATTATATTCATATCACCCGCATTTATTTGAAAAAAAGAGAATCTAATGATATCAATACAAAACTGTAAAGGATTTCTACCTGTATTTACATTCATAATTATGCATATCATTTCATGTGTTTGACTCCACTACCTCTGAACTCACATCTTTGTACGTGTATGGCACATCCTTGGTAGTAGCATAGGCCTACTGTAGGCACACGGAATTTCCAGGATACAATATTCTAAGCATACAGTATTTAGAGGATACATTATTTCTAGGATATTGTATTTCAGGATATAGTATGCTAAGATAACGGTATTTCAGGCATACAGTAGTTCCACGAAACAGCATTTTAGGTTTCAGAGTTCCGAGGATACAGCACTTTAGGCATACAATATTTTAGGATACTATATTCCGAGAATACATCTTTAAGGTAGACAGTATTTCTAGGATACATTGCTTTAGGATACAGTACTGTAGGCCAATATCACAACCTATTTTGCTTCTTTGAACAGCTCTCGGATTATCCGTAGTATATCCTTCGTGCCTTGTGGAAATTTACTCTTTAAAATCCCAAAACAGGTCAACATGATAAAATGCAAGAAATAGCCTCCTTAAACTGAGAGAGAGAGAGAGAGAGAAAAAAAAAATATTCGATCAGCTGCTTACACTATCTCACTTTTCCTTTTTAATTTGCTGTACCTTGTCTTCTCCTTTTTTCCCCTATCTTTATCATATCTTCATTCATGTCTCTTTCTCATCGTCTTTCAAAATTTCTTTTCGTTACACATGTCACTCGGTTACGGACTTAAACCTTTTGCCACTCCATCTGTGTGTGTACTTCCCGTGCTAAAATTACTAACTTAGACTAGAATCGCAAACGGCAGGCGACACACAACACTATCCGGCCAGGGAAGTACATTATCTAACTCTGTGGAAAAGATAGAGATACTTATATAACGTGCAAAGTTGATTTTTAACTTTATTCTAAGCTTAGGACACTGATGGAAAATTATATACATGTAATTGAAATTCAACTATATAAATACTGTACATCCGTCTAATAAATCACCCAGCTATGGAAACAAAAGTGATAGCGAACCTAAAATAAAAATATACATCTAAAATATTTGTTCACTGTTTCCCTACTTTAATTCCCGTCTAATTACAACGCTTGGGGCACCCTAATTATGTCTACATAGTGACATAATTCTGTAAGAGAAGAAAAGAAAGAATAAAGAATTTCATATACGAAGAAAATTCATGAGAATCGTCAGGATATTTCCCCTGCGAAAAATGTTAAGAGAGAAATAACAGGAAAGAACATTTACAAATAGGATTAAAACCAGCTAAAGTTTTAAGTGAAACTGACGTCAGAATAGACCACATCTTCACATAACAATATCATAGTTTTAGACACCGGGATAAGGCATGTGAGAAACCCCGTCTTAAATAGGGTTTATGTGGACAGCTGGAACATGAGAAGAATTCAACCTTGTCAACATTCACACTTAAGGACACGAACAGGTTGTTGAATCAGCTGATGTATTGGACGTGAGCAATGTGTACAGGAAGACGAAGCGAGCCTTATAGAATAGAGATAAATCGCTGTGGTGATCCCAGCGCTTCTGACGCCATGGGGAGGGAGGGGGGGGGGCGACGAGACGACGAGGCCTCAACGCGGTACTTGCTCTCAAGATCCTAGAGGAAGACAAACTCTGCGCGCGGCGAACGCCACATTCCACTTCCCGGAATGGACGAGCGTTTCCTGCCCGATCGCGTCCCTAGCTCGTGAGCGCGAGGGCCTCCTCCTCGGGGTTCAGGAGCAGGGCGAAGGGGTCGGCCTCCGGGAGGGCGGGGATGTCGTCGAAGGCGTCGAGGTTGTCTTCGAAGACGCAGGAGTCGTCGGAGAGGAGGTCGCTGAGGTCGCTGCTGCTGCCCGACGAGCCTCGACCCGCGGCGGAGGCGGAGCAGGAGGGGAGGGCCGCGGAGGGCGTCGGGAAGGCCTGCTGGAAGGCGCCGCGGCCCGGACACTGCAGGACGGGGCCGCGCGAGGCCAGCGGCGCGGACGCCTCGATGGAGAGGTCGTCGATCCCGAGGCCGTCGAAGAAGGAGATGTCGCCCGGGTGGCCGTCCTGCAGGATGTGCGACAGGGCGCGGATGTAGTTGACGGCGAGCTTGAGCGTGGTGATCTTGGTCATGGCGGCGGCGGCGCGGCGGCTGCAGATGTCGGGCAGCACGCGCCGGAGCGTCTCGAAGGCGTCGTTGATCTCCTTCATGCGGTGGCGCTCGCGGGCGTTCGCCGTCTTGCGCCGGTACTTGGACAGCGGCGGCGGCCGGATGCGGGGCGTCTTGCTGCTCGCGCCGGGGAGGTCGTCGCGGCCCTTCTCCAGCTGCAGCCTGCGGACGACGGTGCGCGGCCGCAGCCCGTACTTCTCCGCGATCCGGGAGGAGGACTTCCTCTGGCTGCGACTGCTGCTGCTGCTGCTGTTGCTGTTGTTGTGGTTGTTGTCGGTGCACATGGATATCTTTGTCGCTTGACTGGCCGCCAAGCCCTCCATCTCTTTATCTTTGTCAATCATATTTTCGCAGAAAACGGTTCTCAGAATGTGGCACAGATCACTACTTACGCCCACGTTGAAATCACCTCCGTTCCTTTCGCTCCAGAAATCCCAAGTCGCCTGTAACTACTTTCAAAAGACAACCGAGGCGCAGAATAAATTACAAACAGGAACAGATTTTACCTTCCGATAAGAATGTTCCACACAGCGTGCTGATGAAAGTTTCACTCATCTTGTTAACTGGCGAGTTTTTATTACGCATGCAAATTACTAATGATCTCACTAACTTCGCTGGAACACTGACCACTGTCCCGCTTAGATTACTCTCTTGATACCGTTTCTGGTTTAGACAACTTCTTCCCGAGACTTTGATAGGGTCATCGTAACTTCATAATTATCTCCAAAAATATCAGAATGAGACAGATCGTTAAGATAACAGCTGCGATTCTTTTTTTTTTCTCGGACGTGTGCAATCTTTCTTTGGATCGGAATAAGACAAGCACAGTTCACTTCTCGGCCCTTGCCTGCTCAAAGCAAGTCCTGCTTTCCAGACGGGTTCAAAGCAAAGCAGATAACGTCAGGGAGCTTTATCTGATGGCATAACTCACATCTCCCGCAATCTCGGGAGCTCATTTGTTAA